GGGGGGGGCTAATTGAGATGTAAAGAAGCATTTTTTTTCTGCTGAAAGGGAGGGGCTTCAGACCCCCATTGCCCTCCCCCTTGGGGGGTAACCAATCAAAACACTTAAAATGGGACGTTCTTCAATGGAATGTGCACTATTCTGCTTCTATCTGTATAATATCGATTATCAGTTCACTCTGAGTTAGTTTTGCGCATTCAGAACATCAAAAGGTTTGGTGTTACAGAAAATGTATTGACTTGGGAAGAAATATTTGAAATTTACTTAAAACATCTTCAAGATTCTATCTCTTTGTTTTTTTACTTCATTTTATATCTGGATATCAAACGAGGTATTTTCAACATTGTCTGATCAGTTTTCAAAATAGGTGGGTTTTACCCTATGGTTACCCCAAAGACGCAAAGTATTATGGTATGCGGCATACCAGTCTCGCTTACTTATCCGCTATGAAGCCTTCCTCGAAGTAATCGTAACTGGAAGTACAAGTCCGAGACCTGCCGATTCACCAGAGTGAAAACAGTGAGCGAATATTCTAGCAACGGCTAGGGTATAGAAGTCTGTATCACAAAAGATTTCAATGATTTTTAATCATCATCATCATTACCATGTTCTAAACTATCTTCCATAAAATCATCTATAGAAAATGAGGTTTTCTCGATGTCTTCAAACACAGGCATTGTAAATGATGCCGGCCTTGGAGAAGGCTTGTCAGCCACGCTATCATTCGATTGGCTAACTTCAATGTCCTTGTGTTCATTATTCTCTTCGCTTCCAACCTCGTTCGGATTTTCTGAATACTCGTCTTTCCGAACGGTTTCCGACACATTTTCCATCGAATCTCTTTGAGTCGTAACTTTTACGTCAGTCCTTTCAATCGATTCTTGATTCGTACCTCCAGTGCGCATGTCACTATCAGCGGTACATCCCTTTGGTGCGATATCAGAATCCTTCCTTTCTAAGTCTTGACAAGAGATTCCACTATCAGAAGACGTCAAACTCTTGGCTTCATTCGCTTTAATAGTGTCACTCATGCTTATGGAGGGCTTGTCATCCGCGTTCTTTATGGTGGCAGCGTTGGGATCATTACTAACGGTGTCTCCAGTGTCTGTTCTTAACGACTCCGTGGTCGTAGCACTTTCAAATTCCTGGCCATCATAGTAGTCATCGGAAAGCTGACGTGCTGTTAGGCTTGCAATCTCGGAGCGTAATTCAAGGAGTAGTGCCGCTGTTCTTTGTCCGAGACGTGACGAGAAGTTAAGCGACGAACTGAGCTGCTCGGAGTCGAGGGAATGAGCCGAGTGTAGTGCTCGTATCCTCGGCATGGCGTCGGCAGAACTGCTTCTAAGGAGGAATTTCTTCTTCTTTCGGCCTATTATTCCTTCGGGTTTTGATGAAGGACTCGGGGAAGTATCCGAAGAAGATGTATCTGGGTTTTGGTGTTCGGTCTGTGGTGATGTGAAAGTCGTCACACTTTCGGATGCTTCATCTTTTTCTTCTTTCGCTGAATCCACTAACCCTTGTTCTTCTTCATCTCCTATTTCTGTTTTACTTCCCTCTTTCTCACTACTTACACTTTCTAATAACTCATCTTTTTCTCCGCCATCTTCGTGTGCTGGAACGACGTCCGAGGTATCGCCTTGATTGACAAAACCTGCATTCACAGTTACGAAATTCTCTTGCCCTGATAAGCCGTCCTCACTCGACCCTGGTTCGTTAGTCTCAGGAAAGACAGCACTCTTCGTCATATCTTTTTCCTCTTCCTGAAAGTGGGCATCCTCGCTTTCTTTGTCAGAATCGGGCCCATGAACTTCATTTGCCTTTTCATCTTCAACCACATCTTCCTGATTAGATTTAATATCCTTTTCGCTTACACCAGACTCTTCTTCTTGTTGCTCCCCAACGGGAATACTTTTTTGTATTTCTTCCTTTTCAGGTGTTGTCTCGGAAATCTGTGGTTCGTAACTAGATGCTGTCCCCTCGTAGACTTTATCTTCGACGTCTTCACTACTTCCGTCATCCTTATTGCTTTCCAAGTCGCTATTTTTCGTCTCTGAATCATCCAACTCAACCTCTTTAGACTCTGCTTTTGTCTTTTCCACCTCGAACGTAGTGTCACAAACATTTGAAGCGCTGTCATATTTCCCCAAAGTAAGTGGTTCTACCTCTACATCTGCATCTTCGTCGCTTAGGAACTCTTCGGCGCTCCGCTCGCATTTGATTGGTTGGTTGGTATCGAGTTGGAATTCTGGGAGGATACATATGGAAGGTCTTGTGATACGTATTTCTGGGGTGGACTTGACGCGGTCRAGTTGTGGTTTTGTAACAACACCAACACGTCCACTTTTATCTGGCACAAGCAACAAAAATATCAGTGACATCATTGATACCTAACTCTTTACTCTAGAGAATGCAATAGTCCTCTTTCTCGTTCAATAATACCGCTGTTTTTGCTGACCGCAGACTCATTTATACAAGAGAGACTACAAATGTACAAATGAGCCTGTATGCAAGGATGACAGCGGTATTTACTGCATGTCAAAAGGGTATGTTCTTGAGAATGGTCAGGTTTATCAGAGTGACGTCGTCTGCCTCATCCCTACAAATTTCGTTTTTTTCGGGAAGGAGGGGTGGGGGGAGGGGGAGGAGTGTAAGGAATTGCCGTCAAGAACAGAAAATTTCGCATGACTGTGAAGTTTTCAGGGTACGTACATGCGGTAAAATATCTTTTCATATTTGAATGTTAAAACTTTGAGAATACCCAGACAATAGTAAAAATTAGCATAACAAAACAAAACAAAMAAAAAAAAAAGCATTAGGAAAGCGTAGGTTAATATGAAGCGTCATTATGCTTGAGGTCTATTCTGCATGTACTTCCTATTATCATTATAAGAACCAACCTGCTTTAAGATCTTCAATTTCAGTCTTCATAAGATTGACCTGTTTCTGGAGATTTTGGCAGACCAATGCAAGTGATTGAAAGGACATCATGGAAGCATTCTTCGAGACTGGGTACATCTTCCTCGTTCGATAACCTTTCCATGACCTCTGTATGGTGATTGCAGCATTGTTCTGCTCTCGAGCGAGCCGGTCAACGTTTCTGTCGTTTTGTTTCTCGAGTTCGTTCCATAGAGACTTGATAGCTTTGGCCATGGTGCGTTTGTCTTTGGCAGCTTGTTCTTGGCATCTGGGAGGAAATTGGAATGAAAAATGAAACGAAAATAGGAAGAAAAATGAGAAAGAAAGAAAATAAGAAAGTGGAGATAAAACGGTATATCTAGCTGAACCCCCGCTCCATTTTATTCCCTTAATATCATGAAGAATTATAAAAAAGGAAGGAATTAAAAAATAGAAAACAAGGTTCCCCTGGAAACATCCTTCCCCCCCCCCCCCCCCAAAACACACACACACATCCAGCCCAGACAAACCGAATCTCTGAGTCTGAGAACGAGGAGTGTAGGGTTTAATTCTATAGGTAAGCAGGGACGGTTCCAAGGGGTGTCCTGCGTTGTATGCATTTCTTCACTTGGGTCACTCCCTAACAAATTTTTGAATCCACCTATGGTAAGCGATAGCAAAACGCACTTATAAATGTCAATGAAGCTTGACATACCGTAGAACCATGGTGGCCAGGTGATTGATGTGTGCTGTTAGTCTTCTAGTCCTAATCTCGTTTCTTACTGTGACCACCTTCATGTCGTACGTTCTCGCTCTGTAACCCTTCCTGATAAACAACAAATCAAATATGTACCCAATTTTCTTTTTTGAAGGAAACAGAAGAAAGCTATCAGGTTCTCAAGTGTGCTGAGTTTCTCACCAACGGAAGTTTCCAGTTTTTTATATCTTATCTGATGTGGGCTCCCTGTGGTGTCATTACCAAGCTCAGGCTTTTGAGTGCATTGCGAATCAATCTAGCCAAGAGTCTTCCAGCTTTTTGGTTAGCGGGCTGGCACCAGAACTCTTTCCCAGAACATCTCCCATTCTATATCCCATTTATCTTTTATTCAAATCAAGAAGGGTTGGTTGGATGGGGAGAGGACTGGGTAGGAGGGGTAGGAGATGGGAGAGATGTGAATGGGAAGGGGACCTATGGATTCTACCATCAGACTCACCATGTAGCTTGTATCAGAGCAGCAGCTCGATTCCTCTGTCGATATTCATGAAAGTGCATCTTGCATCTTACCAGGAATCCCCTGACATGAGCTTGGATAATAGTAGCGGCAAGGTTGATCAGGCCAAATGCTTCTTCTTCAGTCATTATGGGAGGTGGTTCTGCCTTGTTGTCCTGCTCATCACTCACAGCATCTAATAAATACCAATATCCTTCCTTTAATTATTCTATTATTGCAAATATTTATCATATCAAGCTGAGCAGTGAAAGCGGCATGCAAAGCATGAGTGGACAAAATGACCCGCCCTAAACATTTTTGGAGCTTGAAAGAACAAAGCAAACATGACGGTAAAGTGAAACTGTTTTTATTCTTCCTTTCCATATTTCTGCTTCTTGAAGGCACATACATTAGATTTTAGGCAAAAGAAAACAGAAAAATACAGTTGGGTTACAGTAGCCTGGGAATAAGGGCCGGCGGCAAAACAGCTAAACACTCTGTGATTGGCTGAAATAAAATTCACGGTTTATCTGGATAGTGTTGTGAAGAGTAGAGAGTCACTTCCTTTAAACTTTAAAACCAATAAGGTAGTAATGTTTGATAATAAGAGCTACAGTACCTTCCAGATCTTGTGGTTGCCCTCCAATTCTGTCAGTCTCCATATATGGATCTCTCTCCACAGGGAACCCAATAAGACCTCTATCAACACTAAGAGATCTATCCTCTTCCTGGTTGTTATGGTGACTCCTTCTGTTGACCTCAGTCGTGTACCAGTCTTCAGACCCTTAACACATCAATGTATAATACTATAATACTATAATACAATGTAGTCTATCTAAGAAAGAAACTTGGAATCAAGAATGTTGTAACAGCATCCCACTTGACGATACCACTGRGGTGTGATTCTTAGACTTAGCATCACATGTGAGTAGAGTTGAAATCCAATTCCATCTAGATGAGTTAGCTGTGCCCTGTGCTAGTTGAATATCAATAACATTGAAGATTTGAATCTCACACTCTTTGTTCCAGAAACTCTCTCATTCCACTCTTTCTTTTAGGTTGCAACTGGTCTCAAGCTCCTTGGATAGCAGTATAATGGGACCTCTGGTAGTACCCAGATTATGAATGCAGTTATTTAAGAGGAAGAGGAACCATTTAATTTGAATACAGGTTTATCATTTTTCTAATTCAGAACACAATTCCTTCCCTTGAGTATTGTTTCTTTGATTATCACTGAGTTATGATTATAAAGTTAGACTGATGCAAAGTATTATGAAAGGCTAAAAATGAATAACAACGATGATGGAGATAAGGATGGCGGGAAAGATAATGGTATTGATGCAGATGAAAATGGTGATGAAGATACTGATGAACATATTGGTGATGATGAATTGGTGTTGATAATGATGGTGTTGTTGATGATGATGATGGTGGTGTTGATGATGATGATGAGGATTAAATTGGTGATAATGATAATGATGGTGTTGATGGTGATGATGATGATGATGATGATGATATTGGTGACAATGATAATGATGGTGGTGTTGATGATGGTGATGGTGATGGTGATAATGATGAGGAACATAATATCCATCCTGTCTAACAAGACTCACCTCTGACATCATAATCATGTTGGATACCTGGAAACTGGGATGAATCAACAGGTACATAACAAGACTCAGATACAAGCTGATCATCTGATTCTGTGGAAAAAACAAATTTGCCATGATTAGACCATGCAATAGAAAAAATAAAAAATAATGCACGACTTCAACAATACAGACACTTTGAAACTACTTGAATCTTCATATACTTTTATCAAGTAGCAGACATTTTGACTGGGACAATAGATTTCCCTGTGATCTCACACTCAAATGCTTCAGGATGAGGTTATGCATGGTTAAACAAATGTCTTTATTCACATGGGAATAAACATGGCACAGTGTGATAAAGGCTTGGAACTCACTACAAATTTATGGTATGTATTAAAACAACTCCAGAGTAACTAAACAGCTTACCAGACACATCCTCCAAAGCCAAATCTCTTGCTTCACTAGAGTGCTTGTCCTTCAGTACTGGGATGGACCATTTTTGATCGTCGTCTGGCATGGAAGATGAACTTGAGGAAATGCGATCAAAATTGGGAGTGGCTGGTGCCTAAGGAGACAAAAAATGAAATTGAAAATAATAAAAATAAAATGAATATCAAATATGAACTAGTTGAAAGTGGAAAAAGAACCGAACATAACACCAAATTAAAATGATTCCATAAGAAGATAAGGAGATAACGAGCTAAAAACTAGTGTGAGCTGCATCAGTGTTTCTTATGAAACGGTAATACTGTTATTAGTATATAAACACTCCTTTCTACCACCTCTTTCTCTTTTACTCCGAGGAAGGACTAGTGTCCGAAACGTCAGCAAGTTTTTTCATCTTTTCACAGTGTTAAACTTTACCCTTTTATCATTACTGATTCTATAACATTTGAGTTTCAGAGACAGAAATGCTAGACTTTTTGCTAAATATTAATAGCAATTTTTTATAAGTAAAAAGTGGTCTGAAATGAAAAACATTACTCCTAAGGTAAAGTGCTCTATTGTTACCCTTGTTGACGAAGGTCTTAAGGGTGTAGTCTGGCTGAGGTATGTCACCAACTGTGAATGACGTCCTGGAGAAAATGATCTCATTTTTCCATCTCTTCTCAGCCTGTCAGCTTCAAGCCTGTTGAAGGAAAAAAACTGTTTTCATTTTGTCTTTAGTTTCTTCTTTTACCCCAATGTTTATTGGTAGTCGTACTTAAGAAGTAAGCTAACATCCACAGCAGATGATTTCACTTCTCTTAGCCCAAATGAATTGTGAATTAGCCAATATCCAGATATTTTGTTGGTAGCTCAATATTTCCTAGTTTTCAGGTTTTTGCCTCCACAAAACAACAGCTTTTACTCAAAAATAAAGAAAACAAAACTCATCGTTGGAAAGATTTGCCATATATCTTTAGAAATAGCATATTATGTCGTTGCTGGTGTGAAAATATTTTATTTTGACAAGAAATAATGAGAAAATGCTTGGAAGTTTTTGGCTGTGACAAACAATGCATTGTGAAACCAGAATTCAAATTGCCTAGTTTATAATATCCAGATATGATCTTACCTGTCTGTATGTGAGATCAGCTGACCATTCAAGTTATGAAGTCGTGGACAGTTATACAAGATATAAGGCCTGCAGTTGAATCCACTGTGCGCACCATATATAATATTATGGGTTAAGAGAATTTCAACAATTGGAAATTTATGATCGTACTAGGATTTTTTTAGTCTGTGTCCTGGGACCCATGTTACTGCTCACAGGTCCCAAACATTCTTTTGTGGGACAGCTTATAATAAAGGCCAGACCRCTACTGGTCATGATCACATGTCAAATTAGTTTCAGATTGTTCATATTTCATTTCTGGCTCTATGTCACTAGTCAAAATCACCAGCAAGGCAAATATAAATCTGGCCAGAAATTGTCCAATGACCGGATGTGAAATAAAGTGCATTTTTGTGACAGTAAGACAATGGCCGTAGGCATGTGTTCCCTTCCCAACCACTACTTACAGCATGTTAACATGTCTAAGCAAATTGCAGTGAAGTCACCTGAGATTTCCGTCACCGAATCAAGCTCACCAGGAGTTGTAATTACTTATCCGGAGTTGTAGTTACTTGAACCCAAAATATGGGTCTGTAGCCTGATATTGAAGGACTGATCCCAAAAATAACAGAATAATGCTCAACAGACCAACATGTAAARGATACAAGGAGGCTGAAAGGGCCAGGAGACATGGGTTACTAGCTATGGACAGCTGCTCCAGGGATGTGAGGGACCGCAAATAATACAGCTGCAAATCAAGTAAAAATATAATGAATGATGGATGGGTAGGTGAGTGGATGGATGGATGGGTGGGG